TAAATACAAAAAACCGCAAGAAATCACAACAACAAACAAATCCGTATAAATACAAAACTTTGTCGTTTAACAGATTGCTGGGTTTGATTGCCAAATAAAAATCTTAATGTTAGTTGCATCTTTTTTCAACGTCCATTCTCTTTCCGCACAGACTCTATCACGTTTTCTTATCTAAAAAAAAAGTTTATTATGAAAACTATGATTGATATTTTGAAAACCGGAAGTAAGTAATTGTCACCTGTGTTTTATTTATCAAGCTTTAAACGATAATTACATTTTATTATCATACTTAGATAAACAGTTACCCGTTAACGCAGAATTAAAAATTCGATCCCCTTCTGTATGTCTGAAACCTTACTCATCAACATGAACTAATGAACAAAACACCAATAAAAGTAATTGATTTACTACTGTGGTCCTCGGTATGGTAAGGGGTTTATACACCGGACAATTCAGGATGAAAAACCACTACGCCTTCTCTCAAAAATTGTCTGCGTCAAATAATTAAAAAAATCTTCTGACTGATATTATAAATGTGAAAAGGAGATTGCTCAGCTTCCATACATGTTTGGCCTAAAGACCAATAATCATGAAAAATTATTTCCTAGAGTCGAAATTATATATAAATTACTGTAGAAACGAATATTATTGACGGACACCCCTGAGAACTTCTATATACCATATACATTCAACATATTAAAATAATTAAAAACAAATAAGTTATATATTAAACTAGGGAAATCAAGCCAAGTACCGAAATTATGGATTAGATTCAGGTATATAGAGCATGTAGATTAACAGATAGTTGCCTGTTTTTAAAGTTAATGCATAAGAGTAACTTTTAAAATCAGGTGTCATTTCCGGTTATAATTTTCTAACTGTGTGATGATTGTGAATGAGCCACAGATTAGAGAGAATTTTTAAACTCTAGTTAACCAAAGAAAGCTAAGAGATTTAGGTTCTATAGCCTTAAATTCAGTAGCTTCATTATTTTTGTTATGTTTTTAAGATAACCATATTTTAGATTTTTAGTGTATCACACCTTATAATTTTATTTTTTTACTAATTTATAGTCAGGGAACGTAGGCCCATAGATAAATACCTTAAAGTCTAACATATATACAGATTATAATGTGTTTATGGAGGTGTTTGGCGAAAAATGTATGGCAATAGACTTTAAGATGTCGCTTACCATCTATAATAATTGTCTGAGCACATTTGCATCTAGTGAAAATGATAATATATTGGTGGATATTAATACCACAGTGTAATAAAAAAAATGATTTATTTTATTGATCTTTACAAAATAGATTTGTTTTTATGTTATATAAACAACTTCGATCAGTCTTTGGCTGAATGTTACTACACCCATAGCCATTAAAAATGATTCGTATGTTTTCAAAACCGGTAATATTAAAAGTCCTTTTTAAAGTGAATATATTATACAAAGGTGTCCGTTGAAATCTAATGACTGTAAATTAAATTATAAATTACGCCAATAATTACCGTGTATGTCAATATTTTTTGTGCATTTAGGCCAATTTGAGCAATCTCCTTTGTAGAATTGTTACTAAATCACGCAATCGCCACTTTTTGACAGTTCATTTTTCTATGAAAACTAAACACCGCCCCTTATCGAACTTAAATACTAATAGTTTGTTCCATACAAAATTTAAAGATGGCGATACGTTACGGAGCAGTCAAAAACACGTGCATGGGCCTCTGAACGGATTTGGATGAAATTTGGTACGGATATAATTTTAGACAAAGGATAATTTTATTCCGGAAAAAATTTAGGTTCCCCTAGGATTCTCGACAAAGCAAAGTTAACGTAGACGAAGTCGCGGACAGTTATAGTTATTCTGTTTATAAACATCTACAGCTTTCAACTTTTATTTGCGCCTTAAAATATAACGCGGTCTTTCTCCAAGACTCATCCTTTACTACTATACCAAAATTTATTGTAACAGACAGCCAAAGTTACTTTCGCATTTACCATGTTATTAATTAACGACGAGTGCTCGCTCTGTCTAATCGTCGTCACAATTTGTGGCTATTATAATCAAAATATTTTAGGTTTACAATTGTTCTGCAAAAAGAGCAATAAGAATCGTGATATTATCGCTATCTCCCATTTAAGTCTTATAAGGGTTTTATTAGTTGCTACCACTTCAATGCGAACAAATAAATTTCGAGACTCATTTCCCTTTTATTTTTGCTATGTAGGTTTTTGGAAAATGAAATTATTTGTTCACTTTTTATGTTCACAACAAATCCGTCTTAGTGTTGTTCGGTCTTAAAACCGAATAGCCAGCCGAACCAGCCAGTTTGTAATTTTAGGATATTTGGGAGTAAAGTCGGATACTCCTAAATTATTAATGTCTTTGTATTTATCTTTAATTAATTAATCTTTAATTAATGTCTTTGTACTTTGTATCAGGGATCGTTCATTCATAAGTGACTTTTCTTGGAGTTTTCTATCGCTTCAAATGTAGCATAAGATAACATTTATTTTTATTGATTGTCGATCCATTGACATGGCTTTGGGCCTTACATTTCAAAATCTTGAAAAAGCGTTTGAACGTAAGATCTTTTTTTTGTTCCTGTATTTACTTTTAGGAAGAATCTACTGGATTTTTATATTTCAATAAAGGACTTCTACGAAAGCATATTTTGATATACAGCTTCATATCTTGATAAAGAAAAGCGTACCTACTCGAAACAACGTCCAACTTCACCACGCTAACGTATCCTCATATTCTGTTAAGGCAACAGAAACTTTTACGAGCCTTGAATGATCAAATGAACTTATGACACATCCACCGGAAAACTGATCCAACTGCGGAAGACCGATACAATGATTTCAGCCAATTGATTGTTTTAGGTATATTAAAAACGCATTAAGTGAGGGAAAATACTTTGAAAAACAATAGTAACCCTAAGTATAGATCAGTATTCTTCAGTCCATTGTCCATCATAATAACTGCCGGTCCGCAAAAAATATTCTCTTCGTCTTTCCTAAGAAAACAACAACCGAGACTTTTAAATTTTTTTGCAAAGAAACAACACCATATTCCTTATTGTTTTTCGCGTTTAAGTTTTAAGTTTTAGTACCCATTTACTACTTAATAATAACACACTCCACGGCACTTCCTCATCAACAAACAAAGCTTATATTTTCTACTAAGCATAAGAACAATTTTTCCTCTTTTACCTAGTCCACTGGTAAAAAACTGAACATGTATACATTTTCAGAACATTTTTTTTATTTTGTTTTTCTGTATATATAAAACAATTAAAATTGTACGAATAATTTGGGAAATCCGGAAATATCTTACAAAGATCTCTCTAACTTTACCCCTATAATTTGAAATGTATACACATTTTCGGAACTTCTTTTATTGTGTTGTTATAACAAAAACAAATCGTTTGAGAAAACTGGGGAAAAACGTATGAGAGCGCTCTTCCATTTTGCCTACTATAAATTATAAAGGTATACATTTTCTGAAATTATTTTATTATGTTGTTATGCATATCAATAACAAACTAAATTGGACAAAAAAAATTAAAATTTGAAATAAAAAGGCTGTGGGTGCACTCCGATTTTACCTACCTTTACAAATTGAAAACATTACGTTTTCTGAACTTCTTTTACTATGTTCTTATGTATACTCTAAAAACAAATAAATTGTACATGGAGTTAGGAAAATGTGGAGTAAAAAGGTTGTGAGTGCGCTCCGACTTTAAATGCCTCTATAAATTCATAACATATACATTTTCTGAACTTCTTTTAATAAGTAGTTATTTTAAAAACAAAGAAAATATTAGGAAAATATAGAATTAAAAGGTTGTGAACGCTCTCCGATTTTACTACCCCTATTTATAGTGATGATAACAGGGTAAAGTTAAAGATTAATTCTATTTAGTTCTGATTATCCAAAAATAATAAACATTTTTTTTTGTCATTTAATCAAAAAGTAACTAGTATAAAACGCGTCAAAGTTTAGGAGAGGCTTGAGGAGTGACTTGTCACTCCTAAGTACAAATTCTACCAAGACGTGACGTCATGTGACATTTCAATTCAATATATCTCTGTAATGTTTTAATTATGCGAAGAAAAATAAAATACGTGTCTAATAAAAAAAAATACTCTTCATCCTTATTTTCCGATCAACATTTCAACTTTATTTAAAAAATATTTATAAGTTTTTTGAACTTCTTTTGTCTAATCAAAAACTAACGAAATTGAACAATAAATTTGGAAAATCTGGGGAAAATGATTGAGAGGGCTTTCCTACTTTACCTACCACGGTTACCTACCTATATAAATTGAAAAGATATACATTTTCTGAACTTCTTATATGATATTGTTTTATCAAAAATAAACAAAATTGGATCAAAACTGAAAAATTTAGGAAAAAATACTTGAGGGTGCTCTCCGACTTTACCTATAGTGGAAAGATACTTATACATTTTCTGAACATCTTTTGTAAAAATCTAAATGGGTTGCTTTCAATTCATTCTGGAACAAATTTCAATTCCAGCATTTTGTGCTCGCTGTTGTTGTAAAATTTTTATTTAAAAAGTTTTCGATAGAATGTGATTATGTATGGCTAATGCACTACAATTTGTTTGAAGCTCACCAAGTTGCCGCTATTGTTTCACTACTAAATGCTAAATAGCGTAAAGCGTTATTGTCATTTGGCTGCATAATAAACAATGTTAGCGAACATGTATCTATGAGGTACAAATGAAGGTCATCTGACTTCGATAGTCTAGCATAATTGCGAGGAGCGCTAACGAGCAGTGAGAACAGAGAGGGTGCCCTGCCATTCCTGTTCCCAATACCAAGTAAGTGCTCTGTGAATGAACTCGGGGGACTCAACGTTGCGGCGACGACGTAGGCAACGTAATGAAGCGTGCCCGCGCTCCCACCACGGCGCAGGCGCGGGGAGATGCGCGCGCTTATATTCAACAGCGCACCGCGCGACCACCAGTCAATCTCTAACCGTCCCACTGTCGCAATTGAAGCGTGACTGCCTGTGCTGTGAACCGCAATCACACTAACGATAATAACGCGCGAACTGCATCGCGCATCTCGAATTCATCATTGAATAAGGTACAGTAAACAAATAATAGATTCTAGAAGTACTGTAGGGGCATTGGAAGGAGCGATAGTGTTATCCGTACTGTTTGTTGTGAACCGGGTGTGGAATTTACCGTTTCACGATCCCGCCACGTGCGTGGAGTGCACCGCTCCACCTTCCGCTGCAGCGAATTGCATCAGCATCACGGCCAAAATATGTGCCGCCAGCTCGCGATCTTTCCTGTGTCAGAGCAATGCTTTGCGAGTTTATATGGATATTAATGAACGCCCTTCACAATCCCCGACTTATAAATATTTCCTTTGTTTCGCACAAATGAACCGAGTGATATTCAACTTTTTGAATTTATACAGCATTTCGCTTGTTAGGTAAATAGTTCATACTTTGTATTGTCTACAAAGACTTTTAAGTTAATATTTTCTATACTTGAAGTAGATTTTAAGACATAAGCAGGTAAATTTACATAAAATCATAACTATAAGAAATACTCTTTCAGCAACAGAACAAGAGTTACCTTCTTATTAAAATTTAAAAGGAGACAAAGTTTTCCAAGTAAAAGTTTAATTTATAGCGGATGAAAAATAATTTTAACTTGTGCAGCGCAGTGTCCAGCTGATGAAAGATTCATAATTACTAATGGACTCGAACTTGTTTCTAAAGTGAGAACTGGAAATTATTACAAACAGGCTGTTTTGTATGCACTGCTAGTAAAAAAAAAACAACTTAACGATAAATAATATACATAGTTCTTTTTACTATGTATTATTTCTTTCAATCGTAATCTCAAAGAAAATTTAACAAAGAACACAAGAAGATTGGTAGAATAATATAAATATATACAAAACAATACATAATTCTTTATTGAATACAGAATTGTTGAATGTAGTTAGTTTTACCTAAAAAAATGTGATCTATCCGATGCTTGATGATTGAAGCTATCAAATCATAATTCCTAATATATAATAACCAAACTAAATTATATAACTGAATGTAAAATGCAACACTTAGATGTGGATGTTTTTTTTAAATGCGCAATGTTCAGTTGTATTTACCTACTTTTATGTATCGTAAAAATGTTTTAGTCAATAGAATTTATTACGTCTATGGCAGATGTTATCTAGAAGATAGTTTAGAGACGTGCATCACGTATAACAATAAATATAGATACAAACAAGTGCTTGTTAACTGTCGTACAGTTTTATCTTTGACTTTCTATGTTATTATAAATGCAATGTATTGCGAACTTTCGTAGATCGAAAAAACATAATCCTGCATTTAATATTATTGTAAACAACAGAAAATAACATTCATACGTAATCATATGTTATTAAGATTGATTAAAGATAGGTATTTGAGGACACTATATTTGGAAAATTAAATTTTGTATTGATTAAGTGCTTACAAAAATTCCCGCAAAGCACCATTAATAATACATTGAGTAATATCTTATCGAAATTTGTTCAAGATAGCAGAGTAGCAATTGTGTACGATAGCCGATTTATATAAATAAAATTGAGTACGATATACACAAAAGATAAATGAGACTAAACTAATTTGTTTTGGACGGCAACATGGAATATATTCTTTGTGCGTGCCGCAATCCGCTATAGCAACGCTGTTCCTGTGCTCAATCTTTTAAAAATAAAAACAAACAAATAGTGATTCAGCCGGGCCGCGTCACGCGTGTTCTTCAAAGTCTAACGTATAAAGTCTATATTCAACGCGGAGAATTTTCTCAATTAACCGTAGCACTTTATATGTGCAGTCTAAAATTGTCTTAACCTATTTATGCTCGATCATATGTTAGTGATGCTTTTATTCTTAGGCCATACTGGGCTGGGAGCAAAGGAATATTTTATACAATACTCCACTAACTTTCCTTCATAATATTTTTACTATTAACAATAATTATGTGTTGAGGTGCAAATGAAACAATATTCATTAGAAGATCACAGACATAAAATTAAGGAACTATCTCTCTTTTAGGGCTTTTTCTCTTAAACAAACTTTAAATGTTTATAGCTTTTATATATTTTTTCTTCGAGATAAGGTGGGTTGTATTATACTATCTACGAAAATAATTTCTAATTTGTTAACTACTTAAACTAATTAAGATAATTAGATTCATGTTGTTGCTTTGCTTGCAGTCCATTATATATTTGTTATATGATAACGATAGTGTTATTTGGGAATTATTAACTATTTGTTTAATACAAATTGTAACCTAATTAAAAAATATCTTATGAAGTAACATATTTTAAAAACTAACGCAATTTATCTTGCTGTAAACGTTTAATAAAAAAATTGGACCATGATTCCATTACGTGGTAGGTGTACTGGTTCCAAAACGAGACGGATTTATAAATAAATATGGAAAAGACGAATAATAATGATCACACATAATGACGCGGAGAATATTCCCGTAGAATGTTCCAATATCACGTAGGTAGACCGTACGCTATCGGCATAATTTAGGTTGTATTATTTATGAGCTGGTTTATGTATGAAAGTAAAATTAGGCATTCTCAAGCTTTGTTATATTTGTTATACCTAACTTATAATAACTGCTATCATCTGTCTAAAAAGACATTTTCGATGTCGTCATGGCTAAATTGGAAGCACTTCTATTAGTGCACAGAAACGACATAGAATGTTATCAATCCTACATTTGATTACAACGATTCGATATAATTACTTCGACAACAATTACAAAATTGTGATGAAAAAAATAAGGCACCCTTGACTAGAGCATACACTTATGAGATTTGATTCTTTAACTACGAGTATGTTGTAGGAACCCGTTTCTACTCACATTAAACTTTTTAATTGCCGACGTTAAAACATCCAGGGCACGCATACCTTCCAGTTTTTACCGGTTCGTATTTAATAACATTGATGCGACTATCAGTAGATGGTAATCTGGGGTGGTCCTTTAACTATGTTGTAGGAGAACTCACATTAATAAACTTTTTTGAACCTTTCAATTCTCGACGTTTAAACATCCATGGCACGCATACCTTCCAGTTTTTACCGGCTCGTATTTAATGACATTGATGCGACTATCAGTAGATAGTAATCTGGGGTGGTTCTACGTACTGTAACGAAATAAAAACCCTTGTGCTGATCTTTCTGGCAACTATTAATAGTTTAGGTTAATATATAAAAATTAATTTCATATTATTGTGACAAACCTGAAGTGTCTTAAATAATTTAAAAACGAATTATTTGATAATGAAAAACAAAACAAAACGACCATTAGGCGACAGCACTTCATTTTTGGGCTAGAAAATATATGCTAAACAATTTTGTAAAGTTGAAAGTTGAGATTCGCATCATAGGATTTCTTAATGAATGGAATAATTTGACACATTTTTTTCTCGGATGACGTAAGGTGCTAACTCACTTCTAACAGCTATTAGAAAGATAGTGAGAGAATTCACGTTATTATCACATTTCTATGTTGCATTCATGGTCAATGTTCACGTCATAAAAAGCTATAGCGTTTACTTTTTAGCTAAAATTGATGTTAGTTTAGAATTTAACAACCATGCAAGTGAACACTGACCTAAAACGAAATAAGGTAAAGCTATGAAACCGGAGATTATAAGTTACAACCGATCTCATAATATACCCTAAATACTAATTTTCTCACAAGTATGCTTACTATAGATGTACTTTACTATACTTAAGAACTTTTTCAAGACACTTGAAAAAGAAGATGAGTTCCCAATAGTTGCGGCATAAAAGTGCATTCAGCAAAATACTAAAAAAAAGGGACAACATGCTCGTAATGCTTTTATAATAGGTATAAGATTTAGATTTTAATAGGTAGAAAACTTGGTATAGAGAAGGTATGAATCTCGGGAAAGGACAAAGAATTGTTTTGATCCCAGAAATCATTCTATAACGAGGATTGTACCCAATTTTTACACGCAGTAGAAGTCGTTTATAATAGATACATAGATAGATAGATTAACACTTTATTATAACACCAAATACATAATTACGTAACATTCACAAACAATAATATTAACAAAAGCGTTATAATTGGCGGTCTTATCGCTAAGAGCGATTTCTTCCAGACAACCACTGAGTATGAAAAGTTATACAGAGACCATAGGGGTGTTAAATGGCTTGGAATAAATAGTCACATCCATACATACACATATATATACATATGCAGTTAATAACATATAAACATACTTACACATATATACATACACATACATACATAAACATAACATATATACGATAAAAAGTTTACACAGTAAAATCAGATTCACTGCGAAAGATAGAAATTTTTGAGCTGGTCTTTGAATATATTCAAAGACAAATAATAGGTATAAGATAACTTAAACCTCTGAATCGATTTAATTGAAATTTGGTATTCGTTATGTGCATGACAGAGCGCCACCTACAATACGCAACTTTCCGGGATTATGCCAAATAATGACATCAGTTTGTATTTTATTGATTTCTAGTAAATATAGTAAATTAAAGAAAAATAAAAATTATTATATATTGTATAATAATTTAAATACTGTCGGATTTCAATTCGGAATTTAGTACAGTCAATAATAACTCTTGTATTGATGTAATCTGGACTGAAACACTTGGGCATTGTTGCTTGTACGGTGGCTCTATTCGGCCAAAAGATTAAATTAGCAGTTGAACAAGCTAGATTTTGTAAGATCGAATGAAATATACGTGAGATTGTGGTTTTTTTGTACACCAAATAACACACTCAATGCTGAAAATGTCAAGCCATTTTTCATTTTTATCAAAAAAATCAGAAGTCGGTCTTTAGTGGAAACTGTACATTTTTTCATAGTTAATCTTGTTAATAAAAACTCAAAATTGCTAAATGACACACCAGAAGGATCTAGGAGTTCTTGATCATTTGTTATTGATGAAATACCAACAAATTCTTGACTTTTTGTTTCGGTAGATTGATCCTCATACGATTTTTTGTCAGTGCCACAGCTTTTATCTTTCTTTCTTGAATTATTTGTCA